TTTTGTTTTTGTTTTTTTTTCTCAAAGAGGTTCTTAATCTGGGGCACATGGATGCAGGTCTGAATCCCTGAAACTGTGGGCCAGGTTCTGAGGGTGTGTGCATATGTACATCTGTGAGGAAAGAGTCTGCAGCTTTCATCAGATTTCAAAGGGTCTGTGACCCAGGAAGTTCTAATGAAACTCGATGAAATTACAAGGTAAAGAAAGTCATCTATTTACAGGATAAATATCTTAAGACACCAAGGACAACACGCCCACAGTTATTAAGCCCATCACAATGCACATCTGTTAACTTTGTATATCTTCACAGTGTGATCTTCACCACAACTTGCGAAGTGTAACCATTCGGCGCCTTCTGCTTCATTCTGTTCAGTTTTTCCATTACAATTCTTCCAGCATAATTTTTTGATAGCCAGTGTATGACTTTGGCTAAAACAAAGATAGAGAAATCATGAAAGGAATGTATACTAGGACTACAAAATATTTTACCTATGTATTAATTTAATTACCCTGCCCCTGCTATTAATGTTAACATGAATGGAAGTCAAAACCTGAAAATCAAACTGTATAGGTTTTACAGAAAACAGTATCAGACCTACAAGTACAGAGAACAAACTGAAGGCTGCTGGAGCGGAGTAGGGTGAAGGGTTGGGCAGAGCGGATGAGAGGGAGATTCAGGCTTCCAGAAGTGGAACGGGTAAGTCATGGGAATGAAAGGCACAGCATGAGGAACACAGCCAATGACACTGTGACAGTGACACACCAGGGAGAGATGGCAGCTACACTTGGGGGCACGTAGCATAACGGGTAAACTCGTCAAATCACTAAGCTGTACATCTGAAACCAATGTACTACTGTATTATCAACCATACTCATAAAAATAAAATTGTAAAAAGTACAGGTTTTTAAAATACCATCACTAATACTTTGGCAATTTTATTCTAAACTTGGAAACATCTTACTCTACTTAAAACTGTCAGACTAAATATCTTACTCACTGACAAAGGACACCACCAGAAAGAGCAAGAAAAAGACAATGAGTTCCTGTCGAATTTTGTTTTAATGATCAGTGGAATTCATGAAATGGCTATTAAAATCAGATGACATTACTAAATGTGTATCTTTTTAAAGAATTCTAACTTGCGGGCGCCTGGGTGGCTCAGTTGGTTAAGCGACTGCCTTCGGCTCAGGTCATGATCCTGGAGTCCCGGGATCGAGTCCAGCATCGGGCTCCCTGCTCGGCAGGGAGTCTGCTTCTCCCTCTGACCCTCCCCCCTCTCATGTGCTTGCTCTCTCTCATTCTCTCTCTCTCAAATAAATAAAATCTTTAAAAAAAAAAAAAAGAATTCTAACTTGCAACATATTCAAAATTATTTTATTCTTTTGACATCCCTGTGACACAGAGAGACTCTTAAGTTTCTACTGTTCGGTAAGGAAAGATAATGAAAGATTTAATAAACTGCCTAATGGAAACAATCTTGGTTTCCAAGATTGCTGCATGACCTTGGGCAAGATGCTCTTATTAATGCCCCTTCAACCCCATGACAGACCTAGAATGCTACCAAACATAATTAATAAATCCCTATGAAAGTATAATACCCTCTAAAAATTTAACCTGCAAATTAGACCTCCAAACCGAAGAGGAATAAGGTTAAAAACTTAAGTAGGTTTTAAGGCAGTAAACCCTGAAAACAGCATCAGAGCACAGTATAATGTGAAATTATACTTTCAGATTCTTAGGATGAAAGGGAGGAATGAAATATAACCTTGAGGTAATGAAACACATTTTAAAAATCAGCATAGCAGAACTATGCAACCACACAACTGTGAGCCCTTGCAGGTGGTCAGTTCGGAGGTTACACACACTTCAACAATGCTATTGTACATTAGTGTTTCCTGAAATTCTTCTCAAGGCAATGCTTCCATACTGTGCAGGCTATGACTGGAACAGTATCTCAACTGATGGTGCATCTTTCGTGAGTTTGACTACTGAAGGCAGTCAAGAGTCATCAGGAGATGAGCTTAACAAATGAAATCAATGCCGAACTTAAAAAAAAGTGATGAAGTGAGTACAATTAAAAAAGGTCAAGGTATTTAATTGGCTTTCTTGCATCACCAGTAAGCCGGTTCTGAACACGATTCCTAAAGAGAAGTTCCAAAAATATCTTAAATGACACCAACATGACTAGAATCTCGTTTGTTATTGATAATATTAAAGATCTCTCATTTCATGAGAGGAATGGTTTGAAGTAGCGACATTACTGAAAGAAGTATATACAGTACAGCTGACCCAATATGGGTTGGAACTGCATGGGTCCACTTACACATGGATTTTTTTCAATACATACACTATAGTACCATAAATGTAATTTCTCTCATGATTTGTTATTTTCTTTTCTCTAGCTTACTTTATTCTAAGACTATGGTACCAAATACATATACGAACTATGGGTTAATCCACTGCTTATGTTATCACTAAGGCTTCCAACCAGTCAACAGTAGACTATTAGTAATTAAGCTTTTGTAGAGTCAAAAGGTAAATACCCCTAACCCCACATTGTTCAAGACCAATTGTATATTGCTTCCCAGGGGAGCCACTTTGAGGAACAGTACTTATTTTGCTATATAAGCTTTAAGATGGTGGATTTCTTTTTGGGGGGTAATACTCCCTTTAAATCTAGCATGTTAATCACGTTTAGAAGACAGGGAGTTTAGGGGAGCCAACCTAAAAGGCAGTGTTTGCTTGTATTACCTTTGTATCTCATTATTAGCAAAAACTTTCATTTGAAAGGTACCTGAAATTTGGTAACTCCAAATAATCTAAATAATACAATGTGGTTAAGTCAGGAATTAGTTCTTACAAATCTAACACCATCACAATGACTAAAAAAAAAATCTTAACATAAAAAATACAAATTCTGTACTTGTCCCCTTCTCATGCTTTCTAAGGGGCTTCCTGCCAGTATCCCACATTCAGGATCTGAGGAGGAGAGTGAGCATCATGGGCAGGGGAAGGTTAAAGGAAGGTGAAAAGAAGGGAGGGGAGCCCAGGAAGAGAACATTTCGAACACCTGGAATATGGAATTTTCACTGGAATACTTCCCTCTTCAGAAAGCAACAGCATGAACTATTTCAATTGCTAAACCCACCATCAGAGGTGGGAGAGAAGCCAAAAGGGCAGCAGGAAAAAGGTTAATTTTAACCAATACAATTATTGTAAGCACTAACATACTTTGCCAATAAGGAGACAAACTCCCCTGGATGAAATATCTTGTAAAACACATGTGCTCACAGGTCTCTCTCCACCAAGCTCATCACTTTCATCATGATACTGTCATTTGGAATTGTATTTGACATTCTATTTTGAACAGTTCAGATATATGAAGGTTGAAGAATCAAAAAAAAAAGTAACAGAATGAAGTTAGTGATTTTTTGATAATTTGGACATTTTTAAGGAATAGTTTGGGTTAAAAATTAGATTAAAAAAAGATCTTGCTATCTAAGCAGGTGGGGGTGGGGAGAGGGTTGTAAATTACAGGTGCTCTAAGCCAGCTCTGGAGGCAAGAGCCCAGGCCTGAGGCATGAGGCTCAGGGAGCACTTACTGTGCGTGAAAGTAGGCATGTGACTTTGAGGGGCACCTGACAGTTTGCTCCGCCATGGGATCGGAGCTGAAGTGTTCAAACACAAGATGAGGCTACCAAAACACAATCTATAACGTTTCAAAAAATCACCAATATTTTTAATCCAATTTTATTACAAATCTACTGTAGTCACTTTCTAGATGACATCACTATGAACATCACTTTCATCTCAAATGTATTGTCTATAAAGATATTATGCAAACAAGCAATCTGTTTAAGCAAACTTTTAAAAATCAAGTGCAATATAGTAACAAACATCAATCTCAAGAGACTACCATAGTACCACTTAGTGGTAAGCACCACGAATAGAGATTTGTGTCCCTCTCCGTGTAAATGTGACATAAATTTGCCACTAAAGACAAATACTACATGATCTCACACAGAGAATCTTTAAAAATTAAAAACAAAAACCCATAGGAAAACAGATCAGATTTATGGTTACTAGGTGCAGAAGGCAGGGTGAGAGGGAGTCAGAGGAAGGTGGTCAAAAGGTACAAACTCCCAGATATAAAACAAGCACTAGACACGTAACCTAGACATGATAACGACAGCTGACACTGCTGGATGATATACAGGGAAGTTGTTAAGAGAGTAGATCCTAAGAGTTCTCATTACAAAGAGAGACTTTTTTCCTCTTTCTCTTTTTCTTTCCCTTCTTTTTATTGTATCTATATGACTAAATGGATGTAAACTGAACATACTGCGGTAACATTTCATAACGTACGTAAATCCTGCTATACGCCGTAAACTTACAGTCACCTATATGGCTTACTTCTCAATAAAACTGGAAAAAAACTGCCACTAAAACCTTGATGCTTGGGGCGCCTGGGTGGCTCAGTCGTTAAGTGTCTGCCTTCGGCTCAGGTCATGATCCCAGGGTCCTGGGATTGAGCCCCATATCGGGCTCCCTGCTCTGCGGCAAGCCTGCTTCTCCCTCTCCCACTCCCCCTGCTTGTGTTCCCTCTCTCGCTGTGTCTCTCTCTGTCAAATAAATAAATAAAATCTTTAAAAAACAAAACAACAACAAAAAAACCTCAATGCTTTGGGAGCCTGGGTGGCTCAGTCGGTTAAGTGGCCAACTCTTGATTTCGGCTCAGGTCAAAAATCTCAGAGTCCTGGAATCCAGCCGTGTCCAGCTCCCCTGCTCAGCGGAGAGTCCACTCCCTTTCCCTCTGCCCCCTCCCCCTGCTCGTGCATGCTCTCTCTCAAATAAATAAATCTTTAAAACAAGATCTACAAAAGATCAATTTATTTTTTAAAAATTAATTAAGACTTGATGCTTTATAACAAATACAATTATAATTTGTATAATTATAACAAAATCTAATCTGATAGAAGTAAAAATAGTAAGAAAATACCTTTGACTTGTTTCTACACAGTGGGTCCAGTCATTTATTTCTGGAACTTGATCAGTCTTTTTCCAGGTGTATAAACAAACCTTTCCACACTCTAATCCTACTGCAACAATGTATCTGTTTTTAAGGGAGGAGGGGAAGACAGTGATTAATTAGCATGAATTTCTGTTATCTGTCTTCACTCTAACCGAGTTCTACCATGTTCCCAAGTTCTACCATGTTCCCAACTGTCTGTGGCTTACAGAAGGCTCTGGTTCAAAGTGCCAGCCCAGGAGAGAGTGCACTGCTCCCACCCCGCTCTCATGGAGCTGCCTCTCCATCAAGGGTGCACACTTTTTCCTCTGTCCTTTGCTGGCAAAGTGCACAAGCCAGTGTTTCCCTGGCTGCAGGGGCCCTCATTCTACTGCAGACATTTGTTACCGAGAAAGCACCACAGTTCCAAATTTGGTGAAACAAGAACCTTTGAGCCACACTCCCCATCCCCATTTTCCCACTCTGCATATCCTCAAGTTCTATCAATTTAACAATTCTTATAAGAAACTAAGCATTATGAAAAAAATAGCAACTCAGAAGCTAAGATCAACCACAAGTGAAAATATGAGAGGGCTACATATTAAGAAATCAGGTGTTCACAAAAATGTAAAACAAAGCCCCACTCGGACACTGACCGTTGGGAAAGGCTGAGCAGCGGGCAGACGCCAACGGCTGTCACTGCTCCGCCCACGTCCAGGACCGAGGAGCAGGGCCCAATGCTGTGTTCCATGGAGTCATCACTGGAGTCACACTCGCCCCACGCAACCACCTGACAGAGATGGATCAGACTCTGTAAAGCTTTCTCTCCGCAGGGCTTCCAGCAATGCATCCGAGTATCGATGGCGCAGATAATGCAAACTATTCACTCTAGCATTTAAAAAACACCTCACTTATGTTTGCAGATGATGTTCCAGGATTTCAGAGTATTTCAGGCATCAGAGAAGCCATGGTGTAGCAGACACAAGTCTGTGAGACCTCAGTTACCTAAGTGTGCTGGTCCAAACACAAACTGTCCCTGCCCAGAGACCAGGGATTGTCTAGCACGCTCAGGAAACCAGTTCTAATCCAGGGAGAGTCTATCAGTCACATCATCACAAGAGGCTCATACACATCTCCAAGAAGTTACCACAGAATGCATGGGGACCAATCAATCCCTGGCTCTTCCTCTATACCAACTGCTCAGGGAAACAACTGAGCAGTCAGGAGCACTTAACCTTGATGATACCCTGCGTAAGAAATGACGCTTCCCTGGAAGTGTTAGGAGTTAGTTGGACAGTTAGGCAGTCAGGGCCAGGGTCCCCAACAAGAAAATATGGAGTCAGGACAGCTAAAATAAAATAGCACTGACATTCTGGTTTTGCAGTCTTTGCAGAAATGACTTCTACAAAACATCCTAAAATAAGACAATTAACCACAAAAGCATTTGTCAATGTCACGAGCAAGGGGCAGTTAAGACCTAAGCCCCCAGATGTCAGCAAAAAAAGGACCATCAGCATGTGGACATTAACCTAATAGGTAGACAGATACATGATCAAAGCCCTGATTGGCACGACTCAGCACACCCTGACCGCTTAAAAAAGTTCCACAAAAGCAGAACTCATAAAAACCCCTAAACTTAGAAACTCCAAGGGCAACCAACTCGGGTTCCCCTCCCTCTCTGGGAGCTTTCTACTCTTGCTCAATAAACTTTGCTTCGCTGACCACCACTCTGTCTGCTCTACCTCTTCATTCTTCGAAGTGGCATGACCAAGAACCGTGGGCACTAAGGGGACACAAAAATCCCTAACAGAAGCTCACGCCTCCAGGGGGTGTGACTGGCCACAAAGAGAGAGGGAAGTGCAGTGGACAACACCTGCAAAATCCAGATCAAAGCAAGATTCCAAGTAGGAGGCTCTGACCACTTCTGACAATGTGTGGTGGGTGGCGCTCTGTCCGTTTCAGGCCTGACACAGCCCCAGGAGCCACAGCTGGGGCACGTGCGACTGCGCAACAGCGGAGGGCAGAGCGGTCCTGCTTCCTCGGCGGCCAGCACAGCAAAGCCAGAAGCACCGGGGAAGAAATGACCCAGCAAATGGACGCAAGTGAAGGTCTCAGAGAAACGGGTTTAGAGGCTGACATTTCAGCGTTTCACTGAGCGACATGTCCACATTAGTCCTCTGCTTAGGGAATTTGTGCCATGACAACTGGAGAGGGCAGGGAGAGGAAAGCAAATGCTCAACTGCCTCACCACCTCTGGTCTGCAGGCACTGCAGAAAAAGGAAAGGGCATTTTAAAGCGTGTGAGGACAGGAGAGACTGGAGGCCAGGGTGAGGGCCGTGGTCAAGAACCCATTCCTAGCTAACTTGTTATGATTTTTTCAAAGCTAGGGACACACACACACACACACTGCCTCCTCCACTGAATGACTAGGCAATAATCATCTATTGTAGAGAAAAATTTTAATTCATAAAAGTATGAAAAAGAAAAGAAGCCAACTGTTTTCCTCCTTACACCCCCTCCACCCCGTCCTGCTCTCCTAGTTGGTTAGTCTTCAACCATTTCATTCACTACTTTCTTTCCCACTGGGGCCATCTGATAAATACCGTGTCTGAAAGGTTTTCTTTTCATATTTGATATTTCAGAGAAATGTATTTATAGAATTTAACAAGAAAAGCCTTTTTATGCATGCATATGAAAAAACACAGAAGAGAATACATAGATTGATTTTTTTAATTGTATCAGAAAGTCAGGATTATGTGTTTTCTATCCAAACATACCTGTATTATTATTTTACATTTGAAATAATACTAAGTTAAAAAAAAATTACCTTTTTGTCCCGACTCCCAGTGAAGAAATATTTGCTATCGGGACTCCAATCACAAGACCAAATAATTCTACTGTGCACAGCAGTTACCTTGTTGGTGAAGGCGAAGAGGCTGAAAACTGGGTCTGAAAGAAACACCATATACACTACTCACAAGGCAGACAGAGCTGTTTTTATCTGGTAGAAATCTATGCTTATGTGCCATATACATCACACCCTTTAGCAATCAATTTATACATGTGGACTTTTGCAACAGACTAGGTTGCTGGCCCTCACCAGAAGGCTATGGACATACAGGTACTTTTCCAGTAGGGAATGCTTTTATGTTACTAGTCACTCCTCAGTGACTGGTGACAAACATCTTCCAGGCACTTAACTAAAAATTCAACTTTATGCCCATGAAAGAAGCCTGAGCAATTTAACTTTACTCAGGAAGTAGCCAGATTTACACACATGGAAAAAAGATTAATGTACTCTTAAATAATGAAAAAACCCCCAAATGAATGAAAACCTTAAAAAACCATTTTCCCTTGTAAGATTTAAGTGTAAGGTAACTTCTAGCCCTCATATGGACTACAGCTAAAAAAATAAAATTACTTATGAAGAGGGAAGAGGAATGTATCTATTAATCTATAATCCATAAAGATACAATAGATTATGGAGGTATCATTAGTATCCCAGTAACTTTTTAAAAAGTGAAGGTTGCATGTTAGGAAATCAGTAGTTGCAAAAGAAATCAGTCTGTTCTAACATGTACTATTTAATATGTGTCAGTCTCTAAAATGCAAGAAAACTAAGAGATTAGGAATACCACAAGATCAAACTGCATGCAAGTTATACCAGTGGAATGATTATAACAGAATTAAACAACATGAAGATATTTTAAACACGCTCTAGATTTTACCCAAAGAAATGGGGGGAATAGAAACAGGCCATGCTCCAACAACACAAAGGTTCCACCCCTCTTTTGTTTTTAATCTATGCCAGGCTCAGAGGAGAATGCAGGTGGGTGTTAATATCCTGCGCCCTGAGGTCACGGTATTCACAGATGGATGCCTAAACTGTCCTTCCTAATTATCAAAGTGACAGGGGTTAAGCAAGAAAACGGTAAAGATAATGGTCCTAATAAGTTTCATAATTTAATTGTATCTTCATTATTCCTGTCCCATAAAACCCTAGCTCAGAATATGGCACCTATTCAAGTTTTATGTTGGCATTGTGTAACAATCCACAAAATCTATATTTTTTAGATTTTTATGTTTCTTTTAACTGAGATGCCATCCTGACTATATAATCACAAGGAAGTTAACTCAAAGATCACTGCATTTAAATCTTACAAGGAAAGTTGAGTCTTCCTCAGAATACAACTTTGAAAGACTTCACAATAGTGAGACTCTGGCCTTCACCCTGTTATCACTTCTAGTCCTCTTCACCTAGTAGCTCCACAAGGTATATAAAATGGACATAAGTATTTCACTAATAACCTTCCAATTAGAAGCTGTTTTACCTAACTCAGGTGAGATTGTGTCCTGCCTTTTCCACAGTGACCAGGTTCGATCTCTGGAAACAGCTAGTAAGAACTTGTCGTTAGGTGAGAAGGCCATCTGCGTGACAGTCAAACTGTGAAAAACTAAATTCTGCACCTGTTTCCAAGATGTAGTGTTCCAAAGAATGATGGCTGCATGCTCTTTCTTAGCTGCCTGGAGGACAGAGATGAAACAGGCAATTTAAGTAGAAATAAACTGGAAAAAAAAAAACTCACATTTTTTAAAAATAACATTGTTTCTATGGGTATATTTTATGTATCTGTATAAATGGGGAAAAATTTCTGAGGAGATACATACTACAAGCAGGTGTAACTTCCGGGAAGAGGAAGACTGGGATTAGACTAGGTGACTCATCAGAGACGGACACTGTCATCAGTGTTTCAACGTTTTACAAGAATACATTTGTCTATTAATTTGTAATTAAGAGTTTAGAGACTTTCACTTCTGATCAATATGATGGAGTAACAGGGACCAGACTGACTCTCTGTATGAAATAACTAAAAAACCAAACATAATATCTGAAAATAATGGCACTCCAAAATATGAGGTATCCGGCAACAAAAAACACTGATCTCTGAGAGACAAAATGAATTTGAGTGGAAAAAAAAAGAAAAAGAACCTCACTAAACTCTGACAACTTCAAGCAGCCAAAGAGGTGTAACTCAAGCCCCCAAAAAGAATGAAAAGAAAAATACTTAAAAAGATAATGGCCAAAAAATTTCCAAATTTGATAAAAACAGTAAACATACAGATCCAAGAAGTTCAGTAAAACCGAAGCACAGCAAACATGAAGGAAATTATATAGACAATAATCAAATTGTTTAAAACCAGCAATAAACAAAATTGCAGTGGGAGGGGAAAAAACCCATCACCAAAAAAACAAAAAAATTATTGCAGACTCCCATCAGAAAAAATGCAAATAAAAAAAATGGAGCTACATCTTTAATGTACTCAGAGGAAAACGAACAATTTTTTTTTAAAAGATTTTATTTATTTATTTGAGAGAGAGAGAATGAGAGAGAGCACATAAGGGGGGGGAGGGTCAGAGGGAGAAGCAGACTCCCTGCGCTGAGCAGGGAGCCCGATGCGGGACTTGATCCAGGGACTCCAGGATCATGACCTGAGCCGAAGGCAGTCGCTTAACCAACTGAGCCACCCAGGCGCCTGAAAACGAACAATTTCTTACCCACTATAAAAATCATTCGAAAATTAGGGAGAGATAGAGTCTGTCAGACAGGCAGAAGCCCAAAAAATTCATAATCAGCAGAGGTGCATTACTAGGAATGTTAAAGAATATCCTTTAGGCAAATGAAAATGGTATCTGCTAGAAAATTTATTTAAATCTCTTCAAACGATAACTGCTCAATGGAAAAATGACAAGATCTTGTCGGATTTCTATGAAGAAGTAAAGTGTCCAACACTACCACAGAGTAGGGGGAAACAAAAGTATGCTTCTGTGAAGTTCTTAAATCATACATGAAATAGTGCAACATTACTTGGAGGCAGACTGTGGCAAATTATAGATGTATAGTATAAAATGAAAGACAACCAATAAAATAACATAGTGGTTGTATCTACTAACCAAACAAAAGAAATAAAATGGACTCATAAAAAGCAATCAATCAATCCAAAATAAGTAAAATGAAACAAAGAGAGGGATGAAATAGAAAACAAATAGCAAGATAAAAGATTTAATCCAAGCATACTAATTATTATATTAAATGTAAACAATCTAATAAACGCCCCTTTATGTTAAAATGGAAGATTATCAAGATAAGTGAAAAAGCAAGACCCAATTATGCTAAGCAAAATAAGTCAATCAGAGAAAGACAATTATCATATGACTTCACTAATATGTGGAATTTGAGAAACAAGACAGAGGATCATAGGAGAAGGGAGGGAAAAATGAAACAAGACAAAACCAGAGAGGGTGACAAACCATAAGACATTCTTAATCTCAGGAAACAAACTGAGGGTTGCTGGAGTGGAAGGGAGTGGTAGGGATGGGGTAGCTGGGTGATGGACACTGGGGAGGGTATGTGCTATGGTGAGCGCTGTGAATTGCATAAGGCTGATGAATCACAGAACTGTACCCCTGAAACAAATAATACATTATATGTTAATTTTTAAAAAAAACCTTAAAAAATTAATTTAAAAAAAAGCAAGACCCAACCGCCTGCTGCCTTTAAGAAACCCACTTGAAAATAAAAGGAAACAAATAGCGTAAGGGTACAAGGATGGAAAAAGATACATATTTCAAGCACTTCTCTAAAGAAAGCTGGAGTAGCTATATTAGCATTGGACAACATAGATCTGAGAGCACAACATACTGCCAGAAATAAAGAGGAATTCCATAATGATAAATTAGTCAATCAAGAGAACATAACAAATCATAAAGGTTTTAACAGCAGAGCTTCAAAATATATAAAGTAATACAAAGAACTACTGAGATTACTGAATTCTGAAATACAAAGATTAAAAGATAAGCCCACAGTTATAGTCAGAGATTTCAAAATGCTACTCTCATAAAACTGAAAGGATAAAGAAGACATGAACACCATCAACCAATCTGACGTAATTCATACTTTCAGAACACTCCACCCAACAGAAACAGAATCCACATTTTTTTCAAGTGGACATGGAAATTTACCAAGATTAAATTTCAAAGGACTCAAATCATACTATGTTCTCTGACCACAATGAAATTAAATTAGAAATCAATAACAGAGGGGTGCATGGGTGGCTCAGTCGTTGTCTGCCTTAGGCTCGGGCAATGGTCCCGGGGTCCTGGGATCGAGCCCCACATCGGGCTCCTTGCTCAGCAGGAGGCCTGCTTCTCCCTCTCCCACTCCCCCTGCTTGTGTTCCCTCTCTCGCTGTTTCTCTGCCAAAAATAAATACACTCTTAAAAAAAAAAAAAGAAATCAATAACAAGATATTTGGAAAACACTCAGTATCTGGAAACTAAATAATAACTTATAGGTAAAAGACAAAATCAAAGGTAAATTAAAAAATATTTTCAGTTAAGTGAAAATGAATAGAATGTGTCAAAATTTACAGAATGCCTCAAAAATACTTAGAAATTTATAGCACTCAACACTTATATTAGAAAGATCTGAAATCAATGGTCTCGGATTTAACCTTATTAAACTAGAAACAGAAAAGGAAATGGAATCTAAGAAAAAAATAAATGGGTGCCTGGGTGGCTCAGTCAGTTAAGCGTCTGCCTTCAGCTTGGGTCATGATCCCAGGGTCCCTGGATCAAGTCCCATATAGGGCTCCCTGCTCAGCGGGAGTCTGCTTCTCCATCTCCCTCTGCCCCTCCCCCTGTTCCTGCTCTCTCTCTCTCTCAAAATCTTTAAAAAAAACCAGCAAAAATCAATGAAATAGAAACAAGAACTCAGTAGCAGAGGAAAATCAACAAAATCAAAAAGTTGGTTATTTGAAAATATTAAAGAAATTTATTATTTTCCTGATTATCAGAATGCTTCCCTCACCAAAACAAAAAATGCTGGGGCAGGGGGTGCGGTATGAGAAAGAAGACACAAATTGCTGACAGCAGGTTTAAGAAAGGTGACATCACCAGAGATTCTACTGATATTAAAAGGATCATAAGTGGGGCGCCTGAGTGGCTCAGTCAGTTAAGTGTCTGTCTTCCCCTCAGGTCATTATCTCAGAGTCCTGAGATAAGCCCCACGTCGGGCTCTCCAGGGAGCCTGCTTCTCCCTCTGCCTGTCCTTTTGCCTGCTTGTGCGCACTCTCTCTCAAATAAATAAAATCTTAAAATAAATAAAAATAAAAGGATCATAAGAGAGTATTATAAATAACTTCATGTCAACAAATTTGACAACTCAGGTAAAAGGGACAAGTTTTCTGAAAGATACAAACTAAAACTACTAAGGTTCACTCAAGAAAAACTGGGTAACCTATACAATCCTGTATCTATTAAAGACATTTTATTTGTAGTTAAAAACCCTCCCACGAAGAAAACTCTAGGATGTTTGCTTACTGGGGATTTCTCTCAAACATTTAAAAAAGAAATAATACAAATCCTACACAAACTCTTCCAGAAAATTGCGGAAGACGAAAATATTTCTAAGAGGCTAGCATTACTCTGAAACCAAAACCAGATGAAGCTATTATAAGGAAAGAAAACTATACTACAATATCCATCATATATTATATATTAAAGTTTTGAACAAAATTTTAGAAAAATGAGTCCAATAGTATATAAAATGATAATGTATCACAAATAGGTGGGGTTTGGTTCCAAGAATGCAAAGTTGGTTTATTATTTTAAAAGTCAGTGTAATTCATAATATTAATAAACTAAAAAGGGAAAACCGTATGATCATGTCAGTAAATGAAGAAAAATATATTTACAAAATCTATCATCCATTCCTGATAAAAACTGTCTGCAAACTAGAAATTGTAGGCAACCTGATAAAGAAGAATCACAAGAAATCTACAGCAAACATCACCAGTAATGGACAAAGAAGGAATATTCCTGAGGTGAGGAATAAAGCCAAGGATTTCTGCTATTACCACTTCTATCCAACATTAAGACATCCATATGGGAAAGGAAGAATAAAACTTTCTTTATTCATATGCAACATAAGCCTCTGTCTGGAAAATGCTACAGTATCTATAATAAAGCTAACAAGAACTAATATAAGTTTAGGAAGCTCCCAGGATATAAGATCAATATACAAAAAGTAACTGTACTTCCATATATAAGCAATGAACAGATATAAAATATACGAAATAAGGGTAAATTTAACAAAATTGTTTAAGACCTGACACTGAACACTACAAAAGATTCCTAAAAATATTAAGATGTTAACACTGGGGGAAACTGAGTGAGAAATATTCTACGTACTATCTCTGCAGCATTTTGTTAAATCTACCATCATTCTAAAATAAAATGTTTACTTAAAACAAAAAATCATTCCTAAGAAATTAAAGACCTAAATAAATGAAAGACATACTGAGTTTGTGTGTAAAAAGACCTATTATTGTTAAAATCCTCCCCAAATTGATCTATAGAATCAGTGCAATGCCCATCAAAAAATTCTAGTAGGTATTTTTGTAGAAACTGTCAAGCTGATTCTAAAATTTATATGGAAAAGTAAAGAACCTAGACTAGCCAAAATA